CGTGAGTGGTGTGTTTATGGGTAAAGGCGTGTTGAGTAGCTTAAAGTTTTTGGTAAAAAGACTTCCGTTGGTGAATGTTCTTGACATAAGCACTGTACTAAGTGTTAATATTTTCATGAACAATTAATTTAAATGATTTTTATTAAGCCACATACATTTTTTATGTTTTCAAAGKTAAGCTGAAACTATCCTTTAGTTTAACGAGAACAGCATACCACTTGTGGTAAGATACGTGAAACTGTATTGAACTGAAAGAACGTGAAAAAATATTTGGACGTATAGAAAAGCTAGCGCTATTCACAGACCACTCTAAAGTGTAAATTTTTACKCCAAAAAATACAATTTTGGGAATCCGTTATTTACCTTACATTGTATTAACGCGTGCGCTCATTTCACTAAGTTGAAGATATGCTCAATGTAATACCGTTTATTGCTTATTGAATTAAGTACATTATAATAATTGGAAATTATTTTTAAATATAGTTGTTTAATTTCTAGACTATATAATTGGCGAATGATTATATCACACAACTGTTTAGAAATCACTGAATATCTTAAAGTAGTTTAATAAAGCATGAAATATTTGCACTTATTACGAAATTGCATCAATCGACGGCATATAAAAATAACACAGTAAGTTTTGTGGAAAAAGCAGAGTTTTAGTGAAAATGATATTTTATATGCAAATATTTGTACATAATATGATTAATAATAGATGTGTATAAGAGACAGCTTAAAGAACGTGTATACAGTGTTTATGTAATATTTAGATCATCATTGTGTTGTTGGCATTTCGCCCAACAACGGTGTCAATTTGTTTTTTTTTTTTTTCTTGCAATAGTTATTAATTCAGTATAATTCGCTTGCATTTACTAACGCAATCAACTCACTTTCGTTAATAAATCAATTTGTAATATTTTATCTAAATGTAGTGAAGAATTATATATTTGTATTTTTTTTTCTTTTCATATTTTCTCATAGTTCTGCTTTCGCTCTAAACTTTTTGTTTTGCATACTTGCTTTATTATTTCTTAGCATCACTGCTGAGTTTTACTTGTCTGCTGCATTCGTCTACATAATTAGTTAATGATTTGTTTTTCTATTTCATATTGAAATAATTATATTTTAGGCTTAATAACTTTTTGCTTTTACTTTCATTACTTATTTATATAATTATATTTACTTGTTTGCTTAGTTTTCGTTTGTTTATTGTATTTTATGTTTTTTGGTTTTTGTTTAGGTTTTTTGTCGGCTAGTGTTTGTTGTTTCTTGAAGAATTTTTTTCTTTTTTTGTTATTATCATTTCGTTTAATAATTTAAATTTATTTTAATTTTTAAAATTAGTTCATATATCTACATAAATTTCAAGTTTATTAAATATATTAATCTGTTCGTATTGTGTTTTCTCAATTTCAATGTGTTAATTATTTGTTGTTGCTTTTCATTTTGTGTTTGTGTGTGCTTACATTAATTTCAATTTCCTCTTTGGTTTATTAAGTATTTTTAGTAAATAACTAATTATTAAATTAAAAATTGTTTTTCTTAATTTTTTGTTTCTGTTTTTCTTCTTGTTTTTGCTTTGTGTATACCCACAAATGTGTATGTATGTATATACATAATTAGCTTGCACGCATATATGTATGTATAAAGTGATAAACACATGTACTTAGCGTAATTGAATTCAACACATTTGCTATATGTTCAAGAATCGGGTGTAACATTGCTGTTGGTTTGCAGAATTTTTTCACCTTGAAATTCGTCGACTTCAAAGTTTGCGCAACATTGCTCGCCTTTTCATTAATTTTTTTTTTTTTGT